CGTATCAAACTGGTGTATGCCTGTTGAGCAGCAAAAAAAACTGTGTGCAGTGGTAAAAAAAAAATTCCACTGATATTAATTTGCCACAAATAACTTCTTTCTTCTGCTTTTTTTTTCCAAACTCTTTTTTTGCCCTTTTTTTCATTTCCACTTCTGCTGACTTTATATCGTTTTATGGTGATTTGTGACCGTTTTTTTTTTTTTCAAAGACAATTTCTTCTTGAACTATTTTACACAGCTTAGTCTTTTCTTTAACGCTATTATTGTTCTGATAACCAGGTATTTGCTTTTTTATAAATACCGATCTTGGTTTCAAAATTGGGGTATAGTAAGAATGCAAAGAAAAAAAAAAATCTCGTTTATCTTTTTTCGCCTCTTCTGGTCTTCAGCCTTCCACTTTTTAAAAACATATGTAAATCATCATTAAAAACAGTTTTATTAGCGAAGGGTACGGCGAACGCACATTATTGTCAAGGAAAACTAATATTGATGTTCATCGTACGTATATGTTTATGCAAATGTCATGAGTCAAAAAAAGAAGCTTATTTTAATTCTTGATTTTTTAGATTTCATTTATTCAGTTTTTTTTTGCTTCTGTTATTTTCTCATTTGAAAAGATGAATTAAACAACGTGAACTAGAAGAGAGGTGAAGGAATGTGTGAGAAGAGGGTGGGCGGGCAGAAGGAGGACATGAGGGACCGAGCTGATGGAGAAGGGAAAGGGAAAAAAGGAAGGAAGAAAGTCGATTTTTCTAGCTTATTTTTCTTTTTCTAAACACTTTTTTATACTTTTTTTTCTGACAATTATGTTTTTTACATAATTATTATAAAGTCTCAGCATTATTTCTCAGATATCTCTAAGGTTTTTTCCTACTTCCTTACCCAACGACAAATTGACCAATTAAACGGAGAGGGCTTTCTTGACTAGTTGTTGGTATAAAGACAAGAAAAAATTGAGGCTAACTGTAATGAAGTAAGTGCAGTGAATAAAGTTTTGTCTAATTAAAACTTATCTTTGAGACTTTATGCATACGTTCGTGTTGGTTCTTTAATTTTTTGGTCTTCTTCGACAACCACAGAAAACTTCAGTTCGTTCAAAATTGGCCCTATGAATAACAACAAAACAAAACAAAATTATACGCTGTCAATGATTCAGAAATACGCAAAATTACCAATATGATATCCCACCTCAGCCGTCTAAACAATCCCGAAAGCACTATTTATTCGTCTTCGTTTTTGATGAATTGGATTAGGAGAAATTTATTGAGACGATGAATTCTGAAGGAAAACAATAATTTTTGAAGAAGAAGGAAAAAAAAGGTAAAACAACAATCCAAACTAATTCAAAATGATTTTTTCCTGATTTTTTAAACTTTAATTCTGAGGCTTAATTTGAAAAAGAATAAAAAAACAAAAAGAAAAATATGAAAAATCAGAAATTTTCCAACTTTGTTTTTCTGTGTTTTCATTTTTTCTTTTTCATTATTTGCTTCATCATTTATCGTTTTTTTTCCGATATTCTTCTTCTTTTCATATTTTTATTTATCCCTTTTTTTTTTTAGTCTATTCGACTAGTCTTCCGTATCTTGTCGTTTATCTGCAGAACAAAATTTGATTCAAAGAAAATAGGAGATTTTTTGAATTGCTTTTGTTGTTTTCGTTGTTGTTGTTGCTGTTGTTGTTGCTGCTGTTGTTATTGATTAATGTAACCCTCATAAGTTATTAGCAATAAATTATTGTTGGTATATTAAACGGGGTAATTGATGTTGTTAAATATGGAGTTCTATAAAGGAACGGGCCAAATTCTTGGCCTTTTCAAATGGCCAACAAAAAATGGTTGTAAAAAGGAAGTCTAGCTAATTCAACTTTCTTTCTTCTTCGCTGCATTTCTCACTACTTTGAATTTATTCGTTTTCTTTCTGTATGTTTTTTTTTTTTT